ACACACAGACACACACAAACACACACACACACACAAACACACACACACACACACACACACACACACACACACACACGCGGCGCACACTTTATAAGACCAAGATAAACACTAAAGGTTCTACCACAAGAGTTTATACAAATTGGAATTAAAATTCATGCTTTCCAGTCAAAATCCTTTTTAGGAGAAGAAAACTACAAACACGTATTCTGACAAGTACATACAAAAGTTGTTTAAAATATACACTGCAATTTTTACTTATCATTTTCATCTATGTAAACGCAGTGTTCATGACATTTACAGGACAAATTAATTTTCTTATGTATTCTAAATACGTCTGAGCACAATTTTTAACAATTCAAGTGCCGCCTGTTCACTCGTTTATCTTTGTTCCAGTAGTAATCCCGAGACTGGAAAAAGGCAGAAATCCTTGAACACAAATTGGTGTTGATTACAAGACAAAAAAAGTCATCTGTCAACTCTGTCGATGATGAAAGACAGGAGATAGATGAAGAAACAAAACGTATGTACATAAACTGTCAATGTGAGTGAGTGATTGCTCTTGGCACTGTTCAGTGGCAAGCCCGCGACGCAAGCTTCTGTCCAACCTCTCCCGAATTCAATGATCTCATCAGGTTGCCATAGTGCTTTTAAAATGTATGGCACACCATTAGCGTCAAAATTTGAGAATATTACAGGCATTGTTGATATTTCCTTCTTAGAAGGGTGTGCTGAAAACTCAAAAATGCCCGTCGGTTCCATTGTGAAGGTCTGAGATGAAATGTTTTTGGGGTGAAGTCTTCCCGAAAACTGTTGTCCGAACTGAATCTGCAATTCTTCATCGCGTTGACTCCCGCAGGGATTTGAATATTTGGACGAATTCTTTAAATCCGTCCTAAGGAACACAGTTGCATTCCCAAATAAGCGATTGGAATAAACACCGGAGTATTTGTCCGGGAACAAAAGTTGCGTTTCGGATGCACAATCTGATGACATCATAGAAATATTTTCAACAGCCCGTCCTTCTTTTTCGCTGACGTAGAACGCTTGCTTGGCCGGCATGGAAGGGTATGGGAAAGAACAGGCGTTTGATTGGTCAATCCACGGCTGATGTCCGAGTAAAAGGTCGGTGACGAAGAAGAAAAGAGCGGTCAGTCTCTGTTTAGTGTCAGGCTCACGCGCTGGGCCGTTAGTAGCGACAAAGATGGCGAAGTCCAGATCGGGAAAAAGCCAGACGAGTGACGTATAGCCGAAGAGTGTTCCAGCGTGCCAGATTCGCCGGTAACCTGCGAAAACATAATACAACATAACACAACACAACACAACACAACATGCTTCTTTACTTGACAAATTTAATTTCAAGCAAGTCATAGATTGGGAATAAAAACTGATCTTGCCATTAATTGGTTCAGTTGGTATCATACTGGGATAAAGCAGTAATGACTCTGGTTCGAACTCCCATTAAAGCGGTCTCAAACTGTTGCTGGGGTGGCAGTTTTCAAGGCCCTACACCTATG